TGGCACAAGCTACATTAAAGTGATTATTACGTTTTGAATATGGATATTTTTCTTACAAAAACGCATCGATTCACTACAGGAGGCCTTTGTTCACTGTATGTGCCGTGTGAGACACTTTTTTTATGGATGGGTGCTTTTTATTTAACTTCTTTTGGACTGATGCATGCAACACCCGCTGAGTGGCATTAAACAGCTTGAAAGATCAAAGACAATTTTTAATATAACTCTGACTGGATTCGTCTGAAAGAAGAAAGTCATATACACCTAGGATGACTTGAGGGTGAGTAATTTGTGGGCTAATTTTCATTTTTGGGAGAACTAACCCTTTAAGCTGGTCATTTGCTTCAGCTGGTCAACATAACCAGTAACTGGTCCAACATGGTATAAGCTGACAATGTGATTTAAGCTGGTTATTAGTTGGTCAACTCAATCATAATTATTAGCTAGTCTAATATGGTCTTTAGAAGGTCTTACGTGGGTGGTCTAATGGGTTGAGTAAGTGCAGTTTGGTGATGGTAGACACCTAAAGAAGGACATTAAGACTAGAAGACAGATCTCATAAGTGTTTAAAATGACATGTTCAATTAATTTAACCCAGCCACCTTTCAAAGCAGAGAAAAACTCCCTTAAGGCTACTCAGGTTTGGCAATCAATCACTCTGACAGACATTCTGTCAAGCGGGTGGCATGTCGTGTGTTTCTTTGCTCTTTCTGTCTGCATGCGTACTGTATATGCAGGTGATCATGTGTTAGTCAGGATATAGGTTGAGTCACTCCAGTCCTGTTGTTGTAGTGTTTGTGTAGGTAAAACATGTGGGCCATGAACAGTATCTAGTGCTGGGACTTATTAGCAGATACTGTATGTAGGGCGTGTATTTAGACACTACTTTGAACAACCACAAGAGGGCAGCAGTCCCACACTGCACCTCCCACCACATGCTGCAGATGCAGGGTGTAATATATGTCGCATTTGGCAATGGAATCAAGTTTGAATGAACACTGAATAAGGAGGTTATAACAGAGCGGCTGTAGATGAAAATCAGTTGAGTAGTAAAACAGTTTGTGAATAAAGTCTAAATAATTATTCATTCCGGCATTATCCATTTATGCACCAAAGCCCCATACACATGTCTGATTATATGCCAAAAATCATTGGAAAATCACTGTCTATTTAGATCACTAAGTCAGGCCACGTCTCTCTAACTTTTTTAGCATATTACTTTTTGTATATTTAGTGTGCAAGCTGGCATGCCCTGCTTTTATTACACGCCTGCAATAACTTGAAAGAAAAAGCATTTTATCGACTGCTTGGTTAGTCATGTGACGGATTACAATAACAACGACTAAACCGAAGTAAATCAATGAAGTTTTAAAGCTCTTTGTGATTCTTTTAGAACTTGTTAAATGGCACAGAACTCTGAAAACTCTGGCATTGCACGACACAATCTTTTTCTCCAGTTGCCGGGGAACATGCGATTGAGAGTCACGATCAATAGGCCGTGCCTCTCTTTTCTCTTCAGTATGTAGTACAGCATGCATGGGCTCTGTGGATGACTAACAGATGCCCTCTACTCCTCCAGAGAGAGATAGAAACAGAGATATAAAAGACACAGATAAGAGGGAGACTCATTAAAAGCCACTGGGATTATATATAGAGGGCTGCTGGAGATCCGTCTGAGATGACGAAAAAGGGGAATATTAGAAGCGAAAGTTGGAAAAAGCCGATGGGAAGTGAGACGGGCAGATTGGTGGTGAGATAGTGGAGATGGGCAGCGAGATGGGGAATATAGATGGTGAGATGGCAATGAGCCATGAGGCGATAGACTGCGTGACGAGGGGAAGATGAAAAGTAACACAGGAAGATAAACAGAGTGGTAATCCAGCAGCAAATGGGTGGCTTCCTATGGGGTTTGTGGAGAGAAATGAGTCTATCCGGACACCAGACCAAACAGAAAACAGGAGAGAATAAATAGTCCATTCAGAATTTACTGCTAAGGTTAAAGCAATAATCCATGAGGCAGAGTATTACAGTCATTTAAAAAAGTAAAGTAAAAAGTAGTTACATTTATGGTAATAATCCAAACAATCATTTCTCCAAGTAATAAAGTTAATTTGCATATCTGTAGGGATTTTATGGTTGTCAAGCAAGTAGTAATATAGAATATAGACTGTTGTTTTATAATCAACAGTGTGATTATGCACTATAAAATGAGTTCTTCGAAAGCTGATTAACAACCAGGTATTCCCAAACTTTTTTGTCAGTGTGAAGTACGGCTTGAGATTTTAAGTTAATATTTCAATAATTTAACATCATACTTGCATGTTCATAACTTTTTTATGATGCTTAATGGTCAAATGACATGCAGATAAAGAAATAAAATATTTTGCCTTTTGCAGTGTTATTTTTTATTTTAAAGTATTTATTATAATTTTTATTCTAAATTTCAAAATCAATTTCTTCATTAATTTTATTAATTATTAGCTTTTCATCAACTCACAAACCCCCCCTGCAGTTCCCTCATGAACCTTTGGAAAACCTTGGTTTGGTCTGAAACTATTTTTCAAAAATCATGCATAAACAAACATTCAATTTTAATATTTTTTTTAATTAATATTAAAATATAAATTAATATGAATACAAAGTTAAATTTAAGAAGCTAAAATGACAAAGCTTAAGTTCTGCTAAATGTTTTATTGTCCCTCGGGGGAACAATTAAAATGTAAATTAAATGTAATGTAAATGTAAATTAGTATCCATGTTTCTGATTTATAAATTCTTAAGCAATTTTCGATTTGTGGTGATGATACATGTCCAGGCACTAAAGCTGAAAACCAACAGGCTTACAGAAATATCTATAAAGACGCACTGTCCTTGTAAATCAAAACCAACTACGGTAAAGTAAACTGAAGTGGGTCAGGAGTTTGTGACAGAACCACAGCAATACTACAGGGTTAAAATGAGTTTCATAGGAAAGAGCATGCAGCTATTTCTGGAAGAAGATGCCTGCATGCGCATGTGTGCACGTGTGTGACAGAAACGAGTGGACAGATCTCAGTGGGGAACCTCACAGCACAGCTAAAAAAAATCTGCAACTAAGACACTGTTTATGCTTCATACAGTACCAACACACACTCAAACAGGGAAAAAGAGGAAGACACAGAAGCTAAGAAAACACAGGAAGAGATATAGACAGAAAAAGAGCCTCAAATCCCTGCACACGTTCCTCTGTGAGAGCACTGCTCTTAACAATTTAATATCGAAGCACTCAAATAAATTCACACATGCCTTAGAATAACTGCTGTGCCTACTGTTCTCATAATAAGAGGGGTTATTAAAATCTAATAGAATGTGGTAAAGAGGTTTTAGAGAACTGATTTGAGCTGATCTTGTCTTCAGAACAGTTTATTTTCTGCCATGCACAGCAACTCATGTTGCAAAATAATAAAGGGTATTTAGTAGTACCTTTGCAAAAGCCGGATCAAGTCACATCCCACCATTTGTCATAATTACCCATTTATGTGTCAATTTGAACGGTCAATCAATTATAAAAAATTAAACCAATTACAGAATTTATGGATCGGGGAAATTAAACTTTTGAGTCTTAATCTGACAGTCCTAATCTAAATAAATAATCATCAATCATTTATAAATTTATTAGCAAATTGGCATTTGTCCTGGCAAAAAAATAAATAAAATTACTAACACTAAAAAGCATTTACATTTTTTTTAAATATAAACAAATGTATATATAAAAATAATATTCTTTTATTTACTTCTACATGTCTATACATAGACATATATACACAGTGCATTCAGAAAGTATTCAAACCCCCTTCACTTTTTTCAATTTTGTTATGCTGCAGCATTTTTTTCCTCATTAATCTACACGCCGTACCTCAAACATGGCCAAGTGAAAACAGAATTTTAGAAAAGGTCTTTAAAATTTATTTAAGAAAAAAAACAAACAAACAAAAAAAAAAAAACACACACACACACAAGTATTCAGACCCTTTATTCAGTACTTAGTTGAAGCACCTTTGGCAGCAATTACAGCCTTGAGCATGTCGAAACCAGCATGGAACACCTGGATTGGGGGGACTTTCTGCCATTTTCAAGCTCAGTCAGGTTGGATGGGTACCGTCTGTGGACAGCCATTTTCAGGTCTCTCCAGAGATGTTCGATAGGGTTCAAGTCAGGGCTTTGGCTGGGCCACTCTTGGACATTCACAGAGTTGTCCCATAGCCACTCCTGTATTGCCTTGGCTGTGTGCTTAGGGTCATTGTCATGTTGGAAGTAATCCGTCGCCCCAGTCTAAGGTTCTGAATGCTCTAGACTAGGTTTTCATTAAGGCTCAATATTCTGGTACATTGAGCTTTTCTTCTATTCTGATGTGTCCCTCAGACTGAAAAACAGCCCCACAGCATGAGGATGTGACCAGCACACTTTACTTTTGGGATGGTACTGTGCAGGTGATGAGCAGAGCTGGTTTCCTTCTAACATGATGCTTAGAATTGAGGTTCATCAGACCAGAGAATCTTGTTTCTCAAAGTCTGGGAGTCCTTTAGGTGCGGTTTTGCAAATTCCAAGTGTGTTTTCATGCGTCTTCACTGAGGAGAGGATTGAGTTTGGCCACACTGCCATAAAGCCCAGATCGGTGGAGTGTTGCAGTGGTTTTTTTTCTTCTGTGGGTTTCTCCCATCTGCATATATGATCATGGAGCTCAACTAGAGTGACCATCAGGTTCTTGGTCACCAGTCTAGACAAGGCCCATCTCCATCAATAGCTCAGTTTGGTTGGGTGACCAGCTCTTGGAAGAATCCTGGTTGTGCCAAACTTCTTCCATTTGAGAATTGTATAAGCCACTGTGCTCTTGGGAACCTTCAGTGCAAAATTTTTTTTTGTAGCCTTAGCCAGAACTGTGCCTCGATACAATTCTGTCTCTGAGCTCTGCAGGCAGTTCCTTTGACCTCATGGCTTGGTTTTCACTCTGATATGCATTGTCAGCTGTGAGGCCTTTTATAGAGAGGTGTGTGCCTTTCCAAATCATGTCCAATCAATTTAATTTACCACAGGTGGACTCCATTCAAGGTGTAGAAACATCTCACCAATGATCAAGAGAAATGGGAGGCACCTGAGCTAAATGTCAAGTGTTGTTCCAAAGGGTCTGAATACTTATGTAAATGTGTTATTTCAGTTTTTCTTTTTAATAAATGTACAGACATTTCTAAAATTCTGTTTTCACTTTGTCATTATGAGGTACGGAATGTAGATTAATAAGAAAAAAAATGAATTTAAACAATTGTAGTATCAGGCAGCAACATAACAAAATTGAAAAAAGTGAAGAGGGTTTGAATACTTTCTGAATGCACTGTATATATATCCCAAGACCCAACCCAAGTATCAGCGGTTTGGAGATCTATTATATTTTGGGGATGATATATACAGTATGTTATAATATTATATATATATTATAATTTTGAACCACTGTTGACCCACCGTTATTGATGCAGTGTGAACGGCTGAGCTCCCTACGGCTGGGGTCCCGCTGTTCTGCCATGCTGGCGTAGGGTGTGAGGAGGGCATGCAGGCCGCTATCCCGAGGCAAGGTGAAGCTGCGGGGTTTCCCGGCTGCATTAACGGGGTCTCGGAGCCTCTCCCCTTCAAGCATTGGGAAGGGACCGTAATGTTCCTGCATCAGTGTGCGTTGGGCAGGCAGAGTGGATTGGCGGCGATATTCCGGAGAAAGACCCGCCCCTGGCTCACAGAACACAGCGTCTTCTAGGGGCAGGGTCTGCAGGTAGTGGAGGCCTGAGCTGGTCAGAGGGGTTTCAATCAGGTCCTGCCATGAGCGCCGCTGGCTGGCGGACTTCCGAGCTGGGGAACCTACTCCACTGCTGCTGCCCCCTTGTGGTTCGGAGCGGTACTCCTCGTGAGAGGAGCGAGACTGTGAAGTTTCTGTGGATGAGAGGCGGCCGTGCTTGGGTTCTAGGTAAGGACTGGCACAACTCACCTGGTTCTGTGTAAGAGAAAAACACGAACATTAGGTTAAACCCAAGTATCTGCTAGATTGTAGTAAGCTTTTACACAACATCGCTCCTATTCTCAGGGGCGCCAGCCACCTTTGTTTCTCTTATTTGGGGTACCAAAGTAAATAAATGACCCAAAGGAAACACTAATTACGACTGATTTTGATGCTCATCATGTAACTACATTTTCAAAGGTATAAATCATTCATGCCCCTTAAAATTCACTAGGCTAAAAAATCATGAATGGACACAATGCTTTTGCGCTTCTGCACATATCACCTTCAGGCAAAAGGCAAGAAAAAAGTGTGCTAATGAAGAAACTCAGAGAGTAGACCAGGCCCCTGAATACCCGCTCTCGTCTAAGACAAGCAGATGAATAATGAACAGAGAGAGAGCTCTGGTTTCGGTGAAAACTGCCGAATATAGAAAAATGAAGGGATAGGGGACAGAGGAGTGGAGGGAGAACCTGAAGCTGTGTTAGTGTGAAATTAGACTCTGAATATAGGCCAACCACTCTTCCAACTTTCAACCAATTGGCAATGTTCCAAAAAACAGGTTTAATTTTAGTTGCGTTAGAACAATAGAATGATAGATAGAACGATAGATAGATAGATAGATAGAGATGCTTTGTAATGTCATGAAAAACAGACAACTCTGGAGATCTAATAGTTAACCATGTCAGTCTCGCCTAATTCGTTTCTCTATGGGAACAATGTGTGTGTATGTGTGGAGGAGAAATGGAGGGGCCTTGTAGAAGGAAAAAGAAAACCTGAAGGAAAGAAAAGTGTTTAATTCATGTGTCTTTGTTTGCTCTTAAATAAAAGCTTTGCTGCTGTATGTGGCCTCTGGCTGACCTGCCCTGCAGTCCTGCACTGAAAATACACAAATCACAGTGACTCTTAACCAGCACACACACACAAATTAAACCACACACATTCAGGAACGCATACACATATAATGGCATATAAATATTAATATAATAATAATAATTTATATGCTTAATTTTTTTTACATTACTACATTGAGTTGTTTTTTTTTACAGTGATGAGAATTGTCATAGAAATCTTAAAAATAGGCTTTGTTTTCTTCACAAAACAAATAAAGAATATATTTTTATCTTTTGATTTTGTGTGAAATATTATTCAATGATTAATATGACAGGTTTCATAACACTTGCCAAAAAGGCAATAAATATCCAATACTGTCTATCAAGACCACAGGGTAAATGTAATAGTGACTCACAAAGACTGAGTGATACGAAGAGAGTAGGGATGGGTGATATCTTATAGCTTGCGATATACCGGTAAAAATTCTCCCCACGATAAGAATTAGTCTTCCCACGATAATAACAATAAAGTCTAGTTGCTGACATATTTCTGTGTGCGACAGTGCGGTGCGACTGGCGGACGTGAAATTGAGGAGTATCACTAAATGAGGAGCTCGAGCTCCTTTTACAATCTGTAACTGGTTTGGTTAGGGCTGTACAGTGCACAAAAATCGGTCTGAATTAAT